AGAAAGTTTCTGCAAGCTATTGGCATCACTGAATTTATTCAGAAAGACTCTTTGGATAGCTTTTCAGCATACAAAGCAATACAGAAAGGAAAATTCTCATTTCTTTCATCAGGAGTTTTATCTCTACTCCTTTAATATTCAATGGCAAAATGAATTATACTACAAAAAGCCTTGGTGCCTCTCCTCAAACACCCTGATCCTGCATGATACTGAGCTTCTTTGAAAGACAGCTGGGGGAGATCAGTATGGAAATACTTGACATCTTGCAAAACGGGCCAAGAAAAGATGATCAAATGCTAATGAGCAAAGGTGGTGAGTGAAACCTGGTGATTTAAACCCACTAGTTTCAAAAGCATATAGCAGAATTAGAGTCCTAGACAGCATTCAGACTCTACTGCTCTGCTCCCCTTCCAGCCACAATGGCCAAGGCAGCTCTGAGCTGATAGAGAGCACTTGTGTCAGCAGGATGGAGAGTGGAAACCACCTGTAAACCATTGAGACTGCTCATGTGTGAATAAACACTGCGCCCATTTAATTATTTCAATTCCTGATGATCCTAGGCTGATTTACAGAAAATGAAGGACAACTTTCCTTGGTGACATATTACAGTAGATATATTAAAAAAGCAAATTGCACTTGGGAGTTAAAGATAAATTGACATGCTCTTAAATACATATGTTTCTTTTTCTTTCCTGTTTTCTAATGAATTCATAATTTAATTGGAGAAACTGCTAGATTCCCTCCAAATACTAGTGAAAATCTCAAAGGAGAACAAGTTGCTTATGCAAGTGTTCTTGTAAAACAAAGAGTATTCACATATAGTAAATACATGCTAGGAACAAGAATGGTATTCGCTTGTCTCCTTAAGAGCTTGAAGCCTACATATCTTAATATTGATGATCTGGTTCTGAGCTGAACATTAATGAAAACATTTTCTATTATAAATGAAACTACAGCATTTCTACATATTATAACTTCCCTAGGGCAAAGTTCTGCTTTTGGGTAAATTACAGAGGGATATTATTACAGTGTTGCCAAGTGTATGATAGAGCAACATACAGATTTAATCCAATTAATCCATCCATAGACTGGATCTGTAGAATAAACCAGAGGATGAAACTCAGTGCAGCCCAGACTCCCCAGTGGGACCAGCTACAACAGGCTGCAGTGTGAGCTTCCCACTCAGGGCAAGGGCACCAGCTCACCCCAATCCACCACAGCCTCACTGAGTGGCTCAGGGTCACAGCTGGCAGGAGCAGCAGCTGACTAAAAGGAGACAAAAGCCCCAACCCTCTAAGTAGCAAATACATTTTCCTTTGTAGTAATTTATTCAGATGCTGAGATGGATTTAAATTTCAAGAGATAACGTGAGAGCGAGAAAATGTTAAAACAGGTTAGTTTTCATTTGTGTACTGTGAGTTAGAGGTTTCTACTGCTGCTGGAACTGCAACTGCAGCTGTGATGGGGTCAGAAAACCCTGGGGCTTAAATACAGAAGCTTCAAGGCGAGAAGAATATCAAAATAAATTCCAAAGGGCTTAATAGCATTGTACAGAGGCTGGATATTCTGGTGTCAGAAAGAAACTGGTGGCTCTTAGATCAAAACCTAATCACTCAAAAGCAATAAGAGCCTTTGTTTTAGCCAGCCAGTCATTCTGCTACCCACTGGGACAATGTTTTTCTACCAGCATCCCAAATTACAGTTAATTTACAGTGTATAAATGTACATGTCACTGACAATATAACAGTTAAAGCAAAAATACTTCAGAATCAACATGGTTAAACCTTTAGCAGTCTGATCCAAAATCTGCTAGGAACCTTTTGCTTGACTTCAAAGGAATTATTATCAGCATTTTAGTGAATTTCTCCTACAAAAAAAAATAAAAAAAGGTTAAAAAACTGGAGCTGTACCTCACAGCTTACTGCTAGGACTGCCCTTCATGTGGAATCGAAGACAGGCAGAGCCTGCAGAGAGTTCAGGCCACCTCTGCAGGCAGCAAAGTGAGAAGCAATCCTGAGGCTATCACACAGGACACCTTCTGATCCTCCGTAGCAAGGCCAGATGAGGGGAAAAATATCTGCTCTTTCTTAGCTTCCCATTCCAGAAGACTTTATTTATGCATTAGTCGACCTTTCTAGCCGTTAGGACCATCTTGCTTCAGCAGTTAATTAACACAAGTGCCATAATTTAATACAGTTAATGCTACTTTATGCCCTTTAATGTACCTTCCATTAGTGATATTATTGTAGTATTACCCTGTAAATTAAAATAAGATCAAGACTAAGAGTGGCTCTCTTTAATTAAGGTACTGGCACACTGCATCGTCCATTATTCACTAGAAAAAATCACCCTGATTTAGTGAAGCAGACCATCAGTAAGTCGGAATTAGTTCATGTGGATTATTAGGTTTCTTGAATAATGTGAGCACAATGGGGTTGCTGAAATTGCTAACAGCCACGTTTCCTTTTTTTCATCACATTAATAAATACACAATGGAAGTGGTAAATTGAAGATGAATAAACAGGTGGTAATAGAGTAGGTAAGGTGTTCATCGAGAGTACATAGGTTTTCATCTCTAATGCAACATACATCAGGCTTATTTCACACCAAAATGCAAAGCAATGACAAAACAAACCCTATATTAAGTGGGCAAACCTCCTATCTATAATTCATAGTGAAATATTAACCACCCCAGCATCCTGTATATTTAACACGGTGGCTTTAAGATAGATGCTTTTCACTGTCACCGATGTTTAAAACACAGCGTGGAAGAAATTACATTTTATGTTGCCTTTAGAAATATGCTATTGAGCTTGGTGATTTTAACTATACTTAACCTACAGGTTATGTTTTTCAGAAAAAGGACTAGCTTTAAAATGTGTCTGCTAGCATCACTCGTCCACTATATGTCAAGCTCCTTGGTAATGTCCCTTTGCATCCGATCTTCAAGGAATAGTGTAGTCTAGACTATACCCCAAATGTGTATAAATATCTGGGTCTCAAAGTGCAGAATATGAAACACTGCAGCAAAATAAAATAAATTTGTAACTGCATTTTCAGTTAACATCCTAAATTAAGAAGCAAGAGCTGGAAAGCTCAGCTGAATCAGAAGCAGTGGCACAACCACCCTGGTAACCCTTGTTTCCTGCCACTGGTTCCCATGCTCAGGGTATGCCAGGGCATGTGCCTATAATGCTGATTTGGAGACTCTGGGTGGGTGGAGGTTTCTGGTAGAGTGAAAAATACCTAAACCAAGGTGAGAGTGGTCTTATGGCAAGCTAATTTGGTGCAACTAAACAACCAGGGACTGTACTGCAGCCCAACAGCTATTTAGCAGCAAGCAAACCCTAAAGTCTTTAACAAGGAGGGCTCACTACATATTGAAGGAAACACCACCAAATCCCTAAGGAGGTGTTTTTCTCATTAGCAGAAAAATGATAAGAATTCTCATGAATCTAATCTAGTGAGGTACCATTACACATCAGATATTTCCTTTAAAGCATGTGTCCAATTACTGCAGCATTTAGACAACAAGCATCAGCATCAGATAAGTTCTCCGTGTGGTCATGCTTCCTTTCTGTAGATAATTTTTCACAAGATTGCCAAGCCCCAGATGTGCTCAGAAGGTTTCTGTTTCTAATTTGCATGCAATGCACTATTTTTTAATCCTTCAGATGCTTTCTTTGATAAAGTACTGATAGTCTAATTGAAGACAGACTAAGCTCCAAATGGGTTTTCAGATGTGGAGCAGACTTTCCTTAAAGCCTAAGGACCTTTAAATCCTGTGCTTTGATACAATGCCTCAGCAGAGCTCACCTATGTTGAGTCTAATGGAGAAAGGATATGCATTAAACAGAACATAGGTGTTCTTTTTCAATACACTGAGGCTTGGTTTACCAAACTATTTCAAACAGTATCTTAAGCTGTCCATGATACACTTAGCCCTCCCAAGAGACTTCTGAAAAGTAATTTACAATGTAACTAATCAGTGTTACAAGAATTCTGAAATCAGCAACCTTTATCTCATACTTCCAAATGTTAAATTAGTGATTTCTTATGTATGCATATGTATTTGGTGTGGACACAGAAGACTGCAACTACATGCTAAATCTATGGTCCTCAGAAATGTATTTTTGTATCTCTTAAAAAAAAAGTTTTTTAGAAAAGAAGATTTTAACTCTCTATAGAAAAAACAGAGAAGAAAGAAAAGTTATATTAGAGAGAGAAGTGAACTGCTAATAGAGATGATACCATTTATTTCTTGTGAACAAATTGGCATCCAAGATGCATGTAAAGGGATCACCCTCTCCTGCTTATGAATATCAGTCAATTGCTAGTTTGAGTTGGTAAGAAAATTTCCTGACAGGAATGTCATTAAACAGTTATAATTTTTGAGACTTCAGCACCTGGTACCAGCCACTGCATGCCATAGAGGGAACTATTTGTCTTGAACCCAGCTAAATAATCATCCTTATTGTATTCAAATTAGTCTCTCTAAAACGCTGTGGTTTTTTCCATTATACTTCATTGCATTTCAGAGCTAATTAAAGTACAAGGAATGGACTCTAATCTCTTCCACCTTCCTTGTTCACAGCCAGACCCAGTGGGAAGGGTTCGTGCAAAGGCTGCTGTATAAATCACAGCTTACATTACAGGCCTGGAAAAGTCAAATGATAAAACAGAATCTGTTTTTAGTTAACTGACATCACACCAGGCTCCAGCTATACAAAAGAGGAAAGGGTCCCAGTGCTAGGTTGAATTCCTGAGCCAACATACGAAACAATGCTATCCTGCTTGTGAGACTCAGGGCACAAGATCCCAGCAAACACCTGGGACTTTAAGCCGCTGAGTCAGAAACTTCTAGTATGACCCCAGACAGCCAGATTTCCAATGAACATGTCTTGGCAGAAAATGTCATCATGTTTGGGGAAATAAACAGTTTTGAATATCTTCTAAAATCAAACACATATGTTGGTTTCTAAAGTTATATATTCTCTTACCTTCCATATACCCTTATGTCTGAAATTGCATAAAAGTAGCGTGCCAGGTGTTGCTCATCTACATATACTTCACCAGTTGCTGGCCTAAGCAGTCTTATCCTCAGATCCGTGATGGTAAAGAAATCTCTTAGCTTCTTGGTTGTGTCAAGCTGGCCATAAAGAGAAGCCATGTTATGGAGCCGAGGTCCAGCAAAAAAAGCAAATCTATCTTTGATTTCAAAGTGGATTATTTTACTATTTGTCATGTACCCAGTAGAGTATTCCTCTGTGCAAATGATTTCTAGCACTGTGTGCTGTGATAAATCCCTCACTGATTTTGGATCCATGTGAAAAGCATCTAAGCAGTCTGTGGCATAGTATTGGTAGGGCTGCCATGTTCGTCCATAGTCAAGTGATTTCTCCAGGATCATTTGGTCTGGACGGCCAGACTCAAAAGTGATAACTATGTTATCTGTAAGCTCAATGGTTTTGTTCCAGGAGAGCGTAATATTAACATGAAGAGGCTTTGGATAATCCTTCCAAGTTGTGGACTGCCAAAATGTGGAGGGATGTCTTCCTTCAAGATCGAACATCAGTTCTGGAGGATGAGCCAGTTCTTGGGTACTCGCATCACATTCATTATTGCACATGTAGGGATTCCCCTGGAAAAGAGCAAAGCAGTGTTACAAGAGGCACAGTATAGATGACTGTGATGCATAAAGATGTTTCACGACTGGCACATGAGAGCCGCTGCTTTTCCTCCAAGAGAGAAACCAAGAAATTAAAAACAAACACTTGCTAGTAATATCTTTATCTTAATAAGATTTCTCCTGGCCGTTTTACCTATTAAAGTAAATGTACAAACGCACACACATAGAGCACCCTTGATTCTATAACAGAAACATTTTTTTAGTGAAAAAGAAAAAAGCTTATTTACCCTGAATGACTCAGGCCAGGGATTGAGTCACAAAAGGCTAAGAACAGTGCACAAATCCCTAATACCTCAGTAACTCTAAGTCTTCTTAGAAAGATGCAGCAGCCAACAAGAATTTCTATTTAAAACAAGTATGTTCCTCAGAGCTCTGTCCACAAAAGAAGTAATTTTTAGGGAAAATGTTTTCTGGCTAGCAGTGCAGCATGTATGTACTTGGAATGAACAAGTATTCAGTACATCTTCAAGTTTCCTTTCACCCAGGTGTGAAATATATCATGCTTAACTGTGCTCCCAGCTCAACACCACCTTGCCTTGAAACATTTACACTTGCCACCAAAAGTCATTAGGAAAACAGTGCTCTGTCAGCTCTGGGGTTTGATTCAGATATCTGCCATCTTATTACAGGGTACTGAAGTACTTCAGGAAAGACTTTTCATGAGGCACTAGCTTCAATTTATCAGAACAAGATAATCCAGCACTTGATTAGGTGGGAGATGTCAGCAGCTCTAGCTGGAACACTGCCGAGGTGGCTGGTGCTCTGAACTGAGGGTTGAGTTAAAAACAGCAACAAAAAAAGCTTGCCAGTAGTGCACAGCTTTTACTGCTGCTTGTCCTCTGTTGCAAGGTGAAAGTGAATTATTCTCTTTCTGGCCTTTTGATGCATTAACTTGCACACTACAATCTGCTTCTTCACAAAGGCTATTTTGTCTGCAGATTGGGGATATCTTGCAGCAGTTGCCAAGATATCGGGCCCTGTAGGCTGTCCTGAATCACATATATCTAATTTCAGCTTTCAACAGCACATTAGTATTTTGCTACTTGTTCATTCTGCATTTGTTCCAGAGAGCAACCGCTGTTCTATATCCTTCCCTCCGCCTGACATACAGATTGTGGAAGAAGCCAGGCCTCTTTTCACTGATGGGCAGCACTGCTGGGGAAATATATGCACATGCCTATACATAGCAGAGCTTGATGAGGTCGTAAGTGCAGCCATTATTGTCATTAATCAGAGTTCCCCTCACCTACCCTGAAAACAGAACAAGCCCTGGTATGACGATCAACCTTTTCTTTTCTTATAATTACAGTTATACTTCTCTCCATCTCAAAGCCTCAGGGCAATGAAGCAATTCAATGAAACCCAGTGTGGAAAATGGGTTTCAAACATGAGTTTCCACCATGGCCACTGCTCTGCTCCTTGACATACTCCCACGAAACACAAGCAAAAGAGCTTCTGCACTCACTTTGACCTCCCCACTGGCAACTTCCTCTTACCTGGCCAGGGAAATACTATTTTCTTTCTCCTTCTCTTTCCTGTTAATACAGCTGAATGCTAAAACTGGCAACAATTCAGTGGGACTGGAAGTTAGGAAAAAAAAACTCTAAGACAACAAAAAGGGTTATCTGAAAACCAGCATGCTGCTTATTACACTGACGGTTTCAAAGCATGCAGCTGTAACTGGAAATACTCTGCAAAATGTTGTCCATAATAAGTCCTTGTTACAGCTCTGATTTCAATCTCATGGTTGCTATTTCTATGCCTTCCTTTTGAATAAAACAGTGAAAATTAAAAATAAGTTTCAAGAAAAATAGAGAAAACAAGGATTTTTTTTTTTTTAAATATTTAAGCTCCATTTAATATACCAGATACAAATTCCAGAATTTGCTAACTTAAGCCTTTTCCTTAGGGAAAACGTACATATTGTGAAGTCTGTAAGGTTCCAAACCCTTTGGCTATATGTAAATATAATTTTTTTTTTTTCACAAAATGCTCAGAGTTGCGTAAATCACACCTGTCTGAAGTTTCCTAGAAAAATCTGGTCAGTTCTGCGCCCAGTGCCAGACAGCTGCCTGTGTACCTATAACCTATACATTTCTGCTTTTGCTTTGGTAAAAACAACTTCACTGGGAGGTCATGGGTATCAAAACCCAGCAAATAAATGCTCCTGGGTAGCCAGACAGGTGCATTAAGCACTGCTGAGGGATGGCTTTGGTTTCCTGCTCCACAAGAAACCACCGAGTCTGTTGTGATTCTCCTTGTTAAAAACTAAAGCTGCTCCAATCCGCTAGACCCTGGATGCTGGAGGAAGCATGTTTTATGACTTCCAGTGGGGAACCCAGATTGTATGGATGGATTGTTTCTTTCTGTATATGAGTTGATTTATTTTGCTCCCTTTTATCTTTTTGGTTTTTTATCAAAAGCTGAGGTGCCAACAGCATCAGAGAACATGGAGAGGAGGCTCAAACAGAACACAAACTAGTGTGAATGCAGTAAGATGATGGGACCCGGTAGCAATAATGTACCTAAAACAATGGTGCAGTGAAAGCTAAAAATCAGTCCTAGCTTGCTACTGAATTGTAATCTACATGTCTGTGGGCACAAAGCTTTTTGGAAAAGATGAGACTATTCCAATTAATGGCAGAGTATAGTAAGAAATGGGTCAGAATCACAGTGCTGTCCTGCACCTGAAACTCTTACCAGTGGTAGCATCAGAAGCACAACCTGCCATTGAAACACAGGGGTAAGGACATCCCTGCAAATGAGAATCCTAATAAAAAGCTTCAGTCATATCCTCCCCAATAAAGTGAATTATTTTTTTATATTTTATGGCACACAATTCTCTTTTAAGAGGTGAATAATTTGACGACCAAAATAACTTGTGTGGAGTTCAAGTACTCTAAAGAGAAAATTAGGAGAAAAAAAATCTAAGCTGATATAAGCCGATAAAATAAAATGTCCTGAATTCTAACACCAAGAGAGGGAGAGAAATGATGAGTTTAGGTAAGTTCCCATCTGTCTACTGACATGGCAGCCACTGATGTAATTTTGAAATATTTAACATAATTATTGCTTCAGAGGCTTGGAGTCAGGTTCCCATTTTCTCTACCAGCAACTTGGCTTTAAACTGCTTCTAATTAATCTTAAATGCAATTTGCATGGTAAGTCATACTTACATTACCCAAACAGTTTAAAAGGGTCTTACTCTACATGAACGTCCCTTAGCACACATTATTATGAAAACAATTAATTTAACTGGGATTAGTTACATATTTTAATGTCTTGATCTCTACGATAATCCTCTTAAAGACTTCTGTCTCAGTAAAATGAATACAACAAAGACAAACTTTCCCCAATTTGTGAAAACTAAGCTCAATCTGTGTTGGGGACATCTAAAGGACCAGAGCATTACCAACTGTAAATAATTTTGTGACCAGCAGGCAGCTGTAAAAGATCTTCATTT